TGTTGTGACCAACCAGATGGCATGACGAGCCAACTCAGAGAACCTCAAATCATACTGCGACACGGTCATCTCCCCCTGACGCAACCACTCAAACTGTCTACGCAGCCTCTCGAGGATAAATACAGACGCCTCCGTACCGATCCGCGAGACTCTACTAAACGTGCTCATGACTCGTGAGACCTATGTAACCTAGGCTCTGATACCAACTTGTCACGACCCTATTCCCCGAACCCGATCGTGATGGCGCCTATCATGAAGACAAGGCCAGCCAATTAAACCCAATTTACCTTTTTAACAGTTAAACAACATAAAGCAGTTTAAAACATGATTTAATAGTATTAAGTAGCGGATAATATCAACAAAGTGCGAAAGTACAACCCAACACAGCCCTAACCGGGGTGTCACAAGTCACGAGCATCTAACAACACTGAATACTCAACTATAACTACAGAGTTTAGTACTGAACTAAGAATATAAAAGGAAAGAGATAGGGAGGAGCTCCGGGCTGCGAAGCAGTAAAACCAGTTAAAAGCAGTAAACCAGTGAAAAATCAAGTAAAACACTATATCTCCCTTATTTTATTGCCAAATTGGGTGATTCAAAAGGCTATCTTGGGTATAATCTCGCAGGTGTTATGTTGGGCTTATCAAATGTGAGTTTTGGGAACATTTTGAGTCTGATTCGGGCTGGGAAATCTGTTGCATTCTTTTTACTTATTTTGGGATATAGTTACATTTTTTCACAAAGTTTTGGAGCTTGGAAAATGCAATTTTTGAGGGAGTTTTCATCGACTTCATTGGGGTAACTTGAAGTTATGATTATAATATGAATCTATCATTGATGTTGGCTCTAAATCAATGAATCTTAAAGAAGGCTTGAAAGATAAGAAAGTGTATTTTAGGGGGTTTTGGCAAAACTCTTCCAAAGTGAAAAATAGAGATTTGAACCCTTATTTGGAGTTGGTTTTGGATGAAACTTGTATATATGGACTTGTATTAGAATGAGTGTTTGGGATTTGTGAGTTTGGTCAGGTTCCGGGATGCGGATCTAGGTTGACTTTTTGGTTGACTTTCTATATTTGTATAATGATTGAAGCTTTATTGTTTGGGGTTGTTTCTTATGACTTTGTTTGATATTATTGAGTTGTTTTTGGCTAGATTCGATTCGTTCAGAGGTCGATTCGTGTGGGAAAGTATTTTTAGAGTATTGATTTAGCTTATTTAAGGTGAGTGTCTTGTCTAGCCTTGGTTGAGGGAATTTTCCCAATTATTGATATTGTTTGCTGCATGCGGAGTGATGTATATATGAGGTGACGAGCATATATACATGTGCCATGTGTATTTATACTCTAGTAGATTATAGATTGCTTTGTGCATTGTTTGGTTACTTGGATTCCTTTGTGATTGTATCCATTGATGATATTCTGGCTTACTCTCATAGTAGAGAGGAGCATGAGCAAAACTTGAGAGTAGTAATTCATACTTTGAAGGATCATCAGCTTTATGCCAAGTTTTAAAAATGTGAGTTCTAGTTAGACTCAGTTGCATTCTTGGGTCATCTTGTGTCTTGTCATCGTATCAAGGTTAATCATAAGAAGATTGAGGCCGTTCAAAATTGGCCTAGACCCACTTTAGCTACACAGATTTGGAGTTTCTTGGGTTTGGCGGGCTCCGGTCGCACTTTGTGAAGGGGTTTTCATCTATTGCAGCCTCATTTACCAAGTTGATTTAGAAGGGTGCTCTTTTCAGATTGTCTGATTAGTGTGTGGAGAGCTTTCAAAAGCTCAATACTGCTTTGACTACAGCTCCACTGTTGGTATTATCTATAGGTTTAGGGCCTTATATTGCGTATTGTGATGCTTCGTGTATTTGACTTGGCACAATATTGATCCAAGATGGTAGGGTGATTTCCTACGTGTCTTGTTAGTTGATGATCGATGAGAAAAACTATCCCGTGTATGATTTAAAGTTGGCAGCTATTGTGCACGCGCTCAAGATTTGCAGGTACTATTTGTACGTCGTGGCATATCCGTTCTACACTAATCATCGGAGTCTCCAACATTTGTTCAAGCAAAAGGATTTGAGGCAACGGAGGTGGTTGGTGTTGTTGAAAGACTATGATATCACTATTTTGTATCATTCGGGAAAGACAAATGTGGTAGCTGATGCCTTGAACAGAAAGGCAGAGTGTATGGGTAGTTTGACATATATACCAGCAGTGGAGAAGCCATTAGCTATGGACGTTCAGGCCTTGGCTAACATCATGAGATTGGATATCTCCGAGCCTAGTAGAATTCTTGCTTGTGTGATAGCACAACCATCTTTTTTTGGAGCGCATTAAGGCTCGACAGTTCGATGATTCTCATTTATTGGTGTTGAGGGACACAATACAGAGAGGTGGTTCAAAGAAGGTGGTGATTGAAGATGATGGTGTCGTGCGACTTTAGAGGCGAATTTTGGGCGCCCTATATTTCATCGTACCCCTAGGTTTCTTTTTTGATGAATCAATTCAGAATGTAGGGGATGTTGTGCAAGCTGATGGGTGGAATGGTGATAAGCTTAGGGAAATCTTACCGGAGTATTGGCTGCCCATATTCTTGACAATATCAAGCCTCCAAGTGTACAAATGAAAGACAATCCTTACTGGATGCTCGAAACAAATGGATCTTTTAGTGTCAAGTCTGCTTGGGATTACTTGAGGAGGAGGAAGGAACCTTACCATGCTTAAAAGAAGATTTGGGCAAAGGGGCTACCTTTTAAAATTTCCATTTTCATGTGGAAAGTTTGGAAGAACAAGTTGCCACTTGATGATTTAATGAGGAGATTAGGATATTAAATGGCTTCTAAATGGTGGTGTTGTGTGAATCCGGAGGAGGAGACTTTTCACCATCTATTTTTCAGATCTTATGCTGCTAAGAAAGTGTGGTCATATTTCCTATCATGTGCAGGTATAGCTGGAGGGACTGTTGTTTCATCAAGTAGTCATCAAATGTTGGACTGCTAATTTGTGCCCGGATTACAACCAATTATGCAAGCATTACCATCCATTATTGTGTGGGAACTTTGGAAGCGAAGAAATGGATACAAATACGAAGATCCAGTTACTATAAGTAGGGTAATATATCAGGTGTCTACTACTCTTCAATCACTTGTTAAAGTGAGAAAGCCAAGTCTCCAAAATGTTCCTTATAAGTGGCCTGACTTACTGCATGTAATGGAGCATTACACTCCTTGTCTGAAGGTTACTAAAGTGATCTAGGAATACCCTAATCCAGGGTGGATCAAGGTGAATACAAATGGAGCTTCTAGGGGTAACCCAGGTAGGAGCTCAATTGGTTTTGTACTAAGAAATGAATATGGGGATGTAGTCTATGCTTATGGCAAGGAAATACAAGAGGGTACCAATACAGAAGCTGAAGCAAAGGTAGTAGTAGATGCTTTGAAGTACTGTATCGAGCAGGATTATGTGCTTATTGATTTGCATACAGATTCAATGCTACTTCATAATGTAATATATGGAGAGTGGGATGTCCCGTGGTCAATTGCAGAATATGCGGATGAAATCAAGGAGCTCATGGCACGAGCTAATGCCGCAGTGTCACGTACTCTTAGAGAAGGCAATAGGTTGGCAGATAACCTTGCAAACTATGCCTTGGATGTAGACCATATAGAATGTCATTGTTTTGGAGATCTGGATATTCAAGGAAGGAGGATTGTCAATAATGATAAACTACAATGCCCCTACCTAAGGATCAGAGTTGCAAGGAAATAGGAGGTGAGGAGGGAAAGGAGTACAAAGGAGAAGAAGAACACTAGAGACAATATATATGATCAACATGCTCAACTCCTTAAGGAGGAGAACATGGGGGTCTGTTTTTTATATTAACTTTGTGTTCTTTTTTTCAGGAAATGTTACTATATCCATGCCTTATCATTCGACACAAATTCAATGGGTGGTATTAGCACTTAATGCTCATTCCCTTGAAGGCGTGTCAATGGTAAGCACAAGTATGGAAACAAGATGGCAAAGGAGGAAGCTGGAACTGGACAGTGCTGTTGTGTTTCTCGATTATAGGAAGCAAGTACTGAAGATCCAATACTCCAATGTGTTGGATATTTTGGTACAATCAACAGGCTTCTTTACCATAGCAGGGACAACACAAGTTTTGACATGCAACATATGGCTGCCCAGGTTTTTAAACATGGGAATTACACGAGGTGCTGAACTTTGGGGCCAACAAACGGGTGTCAGAAATGCATTGCGAAGTGAGAACTCAATGCAGTTCCTCATCTCAATAACTAAATTTTGATCTCAAGTAAAGTTGTTACTCACTCACATCTGGAGGTCACACGAATCTTTGACCAAAAAATGCAAACCAAAAAATGTGCAAAAACGATGGACAATGGAATCTGTTGGATTTGCGTATACTATGGACAAGTTTCCTGTGAATGCAGGTACACACATTATTTTTAGATGGATTTGGAAGAGTTTGGATGCTGAGGATTTTAACAAAAGGTGAGCTCAAAGAGGACAGAATGAAGATTGAAGACAACTGCCCAGTTTTGCAAATTTCTGGGACGCATCAATATTTTGGACGATCAAGCACCAATTTTGGAGACTATGGCTGTGTGTGATTTCCACGTAAAAGGGCTAGATTTTATGCATGATTTTGATTACTTTGATGCTACGACTTGGTACTACTTGGATAGATCAAAATGTACGACCAACTTTGAGAATCCGTCACTTAAAATTGGTATTAGGAGTTAATA